TCACATCATTGATCTCAGTCATTTTCTATGCCAATGAAAACTAATTAACCTAAATTAATGCTATGAATTAGAACAAGTATTTGATCTTGATTTAGTGTAACGCTCTCGTAGTAGGGAGGAGAGTCTGTTGTCATATAAAAGTAAATAATCACTATATCGAGCGTGTAACTTGAACATAATTGAAAAACTTCCTTTTACATTTTTAGGGTTATAGAAAGTCATCTTTGTGGATGATAATAATCCCGACCCTTAAAGAAAAGGGTAAATGTCTCAATCACTGAGTTATTCTCATATTGGTTTCTCGAGCTTATTTCTTTAATATTATTGATTTACGCTTTTGACTTTTATTGATTTAAATAATCATCTCAAACATCACGCCACAAACGCTTTTACGAATATAAATAACATGTTATAAGCCACTTTTGTATAAATTATTACAAAAAAAACACTAATCAAAGAGGGGAAAAGTGCAAAAACAAGGTCAATGAGGGGGCAATGACAAAAGTTTTAAAAATTATTATGGGAGTTGTTGAGCATTTGAGGGCTTTAAGGAATTAGGGTTTTGTTTAATTTGTTAAAGTATTAAAAAAATTAGGGTAGTTTTTGTCATTTTTGGGAAGAAAATGGTTGAAAATATAATAAATTAAGTTATCCTAAGACCTCTCACTTGTCAAATGGAAGGGAATGTGAGCACATAAAAACATCAACTACAACTCATACACACATAATTAATCATATTATATAAACTTAGATCAACTTTCTCTATCACTTATGAGAATGGTATAATTTCTTATTCTCGTGATAATTTAAACAATGTAATGTTTCAAATTCAACTCGGGTCGTGTTCTTCCGTTGTAAATGAGGAGACGGGGATTTCAAATGTATGACATATATTGTGACGTCCGAGTAAACGAACGGTACATAAATGAATTAAGACCACATCTGAGTCAGAGTGATCTTGAGAATATGAAATTATGACTGAGAAAGATACTAAAAGACAGTTCAAGACAAGTACGTAACATGATCGTATTGCAAGAAAATGTTCGAGTCATTAGGTTTCAAATCTGGATTCTAAATCTCGGTGTGAATCCTCGACATGGGGTTGAGAAAGTTTTGGAAAGAATTAATAGTTACTACTTATACTTACGATCTGCACCGTTCATTTTTGTGGTTGAATCATAGGAATTCCAAAGTGAAACGTGTTTGACTTGAACAATCATATATTGAGTGACCTTTAAGAACTCGTGTAAATTTTGTGCATGAGGCGTTATAGATAGACACTAGCCTCCAAAGGGGTCGATTGTGAGATCCCAAAACAGTGAGACTATGGGTGATAAATAACTGGTCAAAGCAAACATAGCAGTGAGGTTGGGCGGTTACAAATCGTACTCAAATATATATATTTTTTTTTTGAAGAAATTCTAAAATTAAATTTTTTTTTTTTTTTGGTATATTTTAACAACAAAAAAAAATTAAAATTAAAATAAAACATATGGTCATAAAATACATTTAATTATAAAAACAAAATTATCTTACAAACTTTTTCATATTTGTTTATTGCAATATGCAAAACACAGACATAAACAAACACATAAAAAAATATCAATATATTTATTGGCAAAAAAAAAAATATATATATATATATCTTTTTTTTTTCAGCCACACAAATTTTAGCAATTAAACTAGTGGCTCTAGATTGTTGACCATCAAATTGTGACAAGTGGAAGAATCTCATTGGCCTGTGCCTGCACTTTTTGACATTATCACTTCCTCCACCCAATGCTAATGATTTCAATGAGTAACCCACTAATCCCCATTAGACCTAATTAATCACAACATGATAACTTAAACAAATCCTTAACATTTATTTTAATTTAATCCTAAACTTTTCTACTTATTTTTATATTTTAATACTTCGACGCCTAGTTGGTTAACATTTAGCGTTCGGGTTTTTTATTTTTAAAATTACAAAATTAAATGGTTATCGAAAATGATGTGTTCTAATACTCGAGAGTCATTTTTAGGGTTTAGTTTAAAACTTACAAATCGATCGAAAAAACTAGACTATTGTATTTCAAAATATATGAAAATCTAAGAACTAAAAATTTAGACATGAACACACGTGCACAGTGGAGATTTGGATGGGCTCGGGGTGGAGATAATGACGAGAAATGCAATTCCCGTTCTCGACCCTATTTAGCTCACGTAGAAGGGTCTCTCCTCACTCCCTCCCTCATTCTCTATTGAAACTTGAGACAAAGCTCCAGTTCTGTAGAATGAATAGATATATCTAACAGTACTTTGAACATGTAAAGTTGACTCGAGACCGTCACGAACATAAAAATTAATAAATAAGCACGAAAGTTTATAAATTCTTTCCACTTTGATCTCCTTTGGTTGTTAGTTGGGTGGGAGTGGAAGTGGAAGTCATGATGGATGTGGTTAGCAATAGCCAATTGGGATCCACAAGCTTTCATTTGTTTTCATAGCAAAGGGATAAGTTTTTCTAATTTATCTTCAACCTCTTTCCCTTTGCTGCTTTCTCAAGTCTACACTTAACACATATTTTATATTATACACGTACCACGATCAGGTCGTAAATCTCAAATTTCTTTTTAACCCTTTGTTTGTTTTGCTTGAAGCATACCGAAACGTTGTTTCGGGGCATTTTGGATTCGTTTAGGGTAACGAATAGTGGAAGAAAGTGAAAAAAACGGTCACTTTAAGTGTTTAAAGTTACGAAACAACATCCGAAAATGTAAAAATGTTTGTTTTTTTGTTATAAACGGGAATGCGAGTGTGTGGAGACATTTGATTTGGATCGATACATAACACAAAGATTCTAGATTCTTGTATGAAGATGGATTCTTTACCTTTTGACAAAGAACGACGAGAAAGAAGATTACTTAGGGTTTAACTTTGGTATAATTCTTTTTGTTTTTGTTCTTGTTCTTGTTCTGTTGTTTTCTTATGAGATCCCACGTCGGTTGAAGAGGAGAACGAAACATTTCTTATAAGGGTGTGGAAACCTCTCCCTAACAGCCGCATTTTAAAACTTCGAAAATCGAAGGTAGTTATGAAGGTTGTGAAGCCAACGTCTTGTAAAGTCGAAACCTTTTCTCTCTCTTTGTGATGTATTGGTTAAATGCAACGAACACTAATTGTTTATAGGGCAAAAATAATGGGTATAAGTGAGAGAAGAGGCATAAACAAAGACAAATCCAAGTCATCTTTTTTATAAAATATTGTACAAATAGGACCATTTTGGAAAGTTCTCATAAACATAACATAAGAATGTCAATGTAATGTGCCCTTAATTGGGACATATGATACTCCTCATTCATTGGTTGGTTCAATTAATCCCCTCTTCTAGCTCCCGCTTTAATCATATTGGTTATATACTGAACTTTCAAGCAACGATATCAGATCTAGCTGATTTATGAATTCTCGTACGAGCAAGAAAAAATTCAGATAAGATGAATTTGGAATTCATATTTGAAACTTGATGGCTCGACATTGCCCTGTATCTCCCGCGTTATGATCATTTTACCCATTTGACTTGAACTGCTTCTACGAGTGAAGATTATCCCTACAAACTAAGACGGGCCCTTTTAGCATACTTTGTTTCCACTCACATATTTCCTAAGAAAATTAGGAGCTCACCCAATATAGAGTGTGCATCTTATTGGGATCGAGTTGTTACAAATGATATCAGAGCTGGCACTGAACAGTGTATGGTTATATTATATAATCTGTCAGTGCTTTTGGTTGTTAATTTATGTATTATATTAGACAAACCCAACATAGATAGAGATAGCTTAGCTTGAAGGCATGTGCTAACTCAATTATATAACACAAACATAGAGAGAAAGAGAGAGATTCCCAATACCAATAGCCCTTTTTCTCACTTTTTGGCATTGAAATTATTGTATCCCTAAATGGGTATTGACCAAAAACCAAGCATACCTTAAAATGGCTGCAATCTTCCACCACTCAAATGTTGGACCTTGTTTATTGAGTTCTCGATTATCGATAGCAAAACTATTATGTTGCCCATGTTAGAGCTACTTCAGACGATCAACCGTCGGGACCAATTGCTTCCCTTCGAATATTCAAAGGCCAAAAGACACCCTCATCAAACAATATTCATCTAAATAACTTAAATATTTGTTTATTCACAAAACCCACACAATGATTTCCTCATAATAACAAATTTTCCAAGCTAATGATTTTGTGTCTCTCTCCCTATTTGATTATATATATTTATTTATTGTGGTTTAGGACCAATCATTCAATTTCCAACCATTCCGGGGCCATTTCGATAGAAATAAATCGACTAAATTAATAATAATAAAAAATATCATTAAACTTTGTACTTTGTCTAAAAAATATCCCGAAACTTTCAAAAACATATTTACCATTAGTCTTAAATGAAAATCGTTAGTGCTTTGTTTCAAAAATACTCTTCCACTACTAACCGTGTTTCAAAACTACTATTGAACTTTAAAAACGGTAGAAACTTAATTAGCACAAAATTGAAGGGTTGAATAGTTATTTTTGAAATGGTAGGACCTTATGCGGTAATTTACCCTCTTTTTTGGTATGTTTAATAAAAAAAAAAAAAAAGCGGTAACTTTGACACATGGGTGTGGGAGAAAACCCACATGAGAAGCGATCAAAGAGAGAATAGAGCACTAAGTTCTGCCATGAAAGCATAAGCTTTGAGGTTCTTTACTTCCTTTCATGGTGGATATTCAGCCATGTCCATGGACAATTCTAGCCGACAGGTCAGCTAAACAGAGATGACCTGTCAGCCTCTGATTGGACAGCCATGAAAAGGAGAAAAAAGAAACAGAGAAATGGCTTGCACGAACTCAGGAGTGGAGGCAAATGGAATGAGACGAGTTTTGAGGAAAACCCTTAAAAGATAAAAGAATTATAGATCTGACTCAGATGATAACTTAAAACTTTTTTGTGAAAAAAAGTAGATACCCATCACATGAAATGTTATATATATGTATATATATATATAGCATAATGATGTCTTGAGTTTGCTGTATTTCCAGTTCTTCTTCTTCTTCAACCATGGCGGATCAATTCCCACTCTTAGAAGAACAAAAAAACATAATTCAAAAGGATTTTTCATCTTCTTCTTTACAAGAATTGGTGTCTGGGTCTTGCTTTTATGGCGATCCAAGTCTCTGGGAATCCATGGCTCGAGCTTCAAGGTCTGAAAATGGCGGTTCCAAAGGCAATGATCAATCGAAGTCTCCATCTTCTTCTTCTTCTTCTTCTTCTTCTTCGCCTTCTTCGTCGTTTAGAATGTTTTCGAGGGGGAAAACAGAGATTTCTGGTGGGAATTTGATCGAAAGTAATGTTCAGGCAGATGGAGAAAGGTTCATTCCTTTGAATTTCTTGGAGAGTTTTCCCAAACAAGAATCTGAGTCTTTTTCTTCTTCTCCTCTGTTTCAGTCTAGAACAGATTCAACAAATTTGACTCTGTTTCTTCAAGAACCCCCCATTGTTGATCCATACCCATTTCAAATTCAAGCTCAAAATGGGTTCCAATGGCTGAAAAGCAACCAAATTCAGAATCAGGCCGACGCCATTGCTGCCACTGCGTCGAGAAATTACAGTGATTTCTGGCTGGGGGCGACGAAAACTCAGCCGATGAAACAGATTGGAAGAAAACAGGGGAATCACAAAACAGAGACATCGGCGACGGCAACGGCGGTCGGAAAGTTGTTCAGAGGTGTCCGGCAGCGGCACTGGGGGAAATGGGTGGCGGAGATTCGGCTACCGAGGAACCGGACGAGGGTTTGGCTTGGGACCTTCGATACAGCGGTGGAAGCCGCCGTCGCGTACGACACTGCCGCCTATATACTGAGAGGGGAATTCGCACATTTGAATTTTCCCGATCAGAAGCACCGCCTGAAATCCAACTCTCTTAACCGTACCACGGCGGCGCTGCTGGAGGCGAAGTTGCAGGCGATCACGCAGGGGAACTCCGGTAGAAAAAAAACGACCACAGCAACCACTGCCACCAAATCCGCCATTGACCCTTCTTCTATTTCAGAGAAAAGACTGTTGCAGGGAGATTCAAAAGTGCTAAATTTGAACCAGAATCCGGTGAGTTTTTCACCGGAAAACATGTCGGGCAGTGGCGGCAACGGTGGCGGATCTGAAACAGAGGAGTTGAAGAGAAATCAATATGGAATCTTGGAAATTGAACAACATGTTCAGCTCAGCAGAATGCCATCTTTGGACATGGACATGATTTGGGATGCTCTGTTAGTTTCTGATTCATAAATTTCTTTCTTTCTTTTGGTTCTCGTTATTTCTTTTTATTTGGAGGGGCTTCTTTATTTTATTTTATTTATTTTTTTTTTTTTTGAAACCCCATTTTGTTTTTCCATATCTATCTGTAAATTTATTGAATTTGGTTTCAGTGTTTTCTTCTCTTTTTTGTGAAGCACATTGGTTGATCTTTCAAATCTTTGTATTCAAATGTAAAGAACAGTGCTTTCTTTTGTATATCACATGAAAGGAAGAACCCCAAATGATGAGATAAGCTTATAAAAGCGACTGTCCCATAATACGCTCATTTCGGAACTGATTATTCCAGTTGTTCCAAGAGCCTCCGCTAGTTGAATCCCGTCCAGTAGACTCCCTGTTTGGCCCATCCCCTTTGTCAGCTCTTTTATCGGAATACTATTGCCTAGGTTCATAACGACGGCTAACAAATTTCTTTCCGTATAAGATGATTTAGTCGGGACAAAGGATGAATCAGAGGTATACTAAGGTTCGGTGTTTGACTCGGAGGACTACGTGATCTATTGTCTCTATTGGGTACTTTTTCTTTCATCTCTAACACCCCTTTGTAAGCTTTGATGATATCGACAAGCTCATTTGAGCTAATCGAATCTTTTACTAAAGTGAGGCACGGTTTCATAATCCCTCAAACTCAAAGTACATACACACATTCTGTAAATTAAGGCGGTTCCCTGATAGAGATTAGTGATCGACTCTCCAATAGTCTCCATATAGTATAATCATCATAATCTAAGGGAGCAATCCTAGACCCTTATCATTCGAGACCAGTTCACGAAGACAAGACAGTTGGAGACTCCCTAACAGTCCCTGTATATTAACCGGTGGCACTTACATCATAAGCATCTAGGGCACGGTCCTATAGCTATCAAGCCATCTGATACAAATGTAGACTCGACAATTGAGATAGCTCTCTATTAAAGATTAATTGACAATCTTAGTTCATACATTGTATGATCATAAGGGGAGTGACCAGGTGTCTCGACCTGCTACTAATAACCGGCTTCGCTTATAAACAAATCAGGGAGTGATTCCAGTTGGAATGTTCAACAAAAGGCAACAAAATTTCTTCCCAAAACAGAAGTGATGGAAAGATCCAAAACTTTTCCCTGATAAGAATCTCAAAGTCTTTCAGAAAACTTGAAAACTTTACAAGTATTAGCTTTAGTAATGGAAGCAAGAGACAGGGAAACATGATGAGGCTCTGCAAAAACTGAGCAGTATAGTACCTTAATTTTCTCGAATGTCTGTTGTTGGTTCTGGTTCTTCCTTTGCATCCACCTCCATCATTACCGACTCCCCGGCGTACACTTCTTTATCGTCCCCAACTGTGCTACTCTCTTTTCTAACATCCTCTTCGGCTGTTCCCGTCTTGCACTGTTCCTCCTCGACCAAAGCATTAACATCCACAATACCAATTCCTTTCGGAGATGCATCTTCTTCCGAGTCCTCCTCTTCCTCCTCTTCGTCCTCCTCCTTCACTTCCATTTTATACTCTCCGGAGTTGCCTTCAACATAGCTTGTATCATTATCTGGGGTTTGTGGAGACTCGCCATCCTCCGTTTCTTCATTCTTGTCAGCATAGACCATATTCAGGTCTGGCTCGGGAAGACGCTGCTGTAAAGGCACTGCATCACTGATGACTTGGCCTGTCCTCAGCTTCTCTCTGTAATCCTCCATCTCGACTCTGTATCGTTCTTTATCTTTCATAGCTTTCTCCTGGTAAACCTGCAAGTAAAGAAAACTCGTCGATACCGGCTAGTACCAGAGATGTGACGAATTCCGAAAGCATAAACGACAGTGTATTGCAATCCTTACTATTCTTTCAGACTCTTTAAGTTTATTCCAAAGGTCACCAATCATTCTGCTTATCTCCCTGTCCTTCCCCGGGTGTAATGGTTTGAGTCTAGCATGCTGCTCAGCAAAGAAGAAGTTGTAGCCGCTTCTATTTGGCTTCGGATGACCGGGATCCCTTCGTTTTATCTCATATTTCTTCCGACGGCGATGCTGATGAGCATTTGGTGTACCATCTTTGGCAAAAACACCAACAGGCTGAGTAGGTTGCTCAGAAGAAGCCTGATAAAGCACACCTTTTAGCTTCTCCGTCCCTACAGTAACAGTAATAAGATATCCGCTATCAAATTTCCCGTCAATGACTCCGATCACTGGAAACCCTCCTGCTGGAGATGTCGATCCCGGAGCAACTGTAGGGAGAAGAAAATTTATCTAATTATTAATCAGATGTGGTTACAACCTCAGTATGTAACGAGAGAAACCATGCGTTATCGACTATAAAATACGACGCAAGCACATAAAGAAATTGAAGCTCAAGCACGCATGTATATTGCTCCCCGACTTATTTTCCATGTATGTCTCTAAAGGACCACAGAATACACCTGCTGGAAGTTCAGTTGCAGTACTACGTGGAGGCTGGGACGCCGCCTGATTATCTGATGGTGGTAACATAGAGGCCGTCCCTTGGGTAGGAATCGTCGCTGCACTTGGGCACAGAGAGGAATCTGAAAGATTGCTGTGTTAGAAAATCAAGAGCAGAAGCCTTGGGGGGGGGGGGGGGGGGGGGGGGGGGGGGGGGGGGGGGGGGGGGGGGGGGGGGGGGGGGGGGGGGGGGGGGGGGGGGGGGGGGGGGGGGGGGGTGGTGAGTTTCACTTGCCAGAAATTATTGGTGTCCATCCCACAGCTTTGAAGAAGTAAATCTGTTCAAAATGATGAAGCAACGAAAGATAATACTTCCTGAGAACGAAAGAGGCATTGGTGGCCGTTGAAGGGAAATTGAAAACTGAAGTTACTTCTTTCCATCTTCTCTCTCTTATAACCTGTAAAATTCAGATTGTTACATTCTCGAGCTGCTCGATCATATGAATTTGTAATGAATATTGTGCTTTAATGATTCAACTTTAACCCGTCAACCGTGTTAGAAGGGCTAAAACCATAGCAAAAAGATTCAATACCATGACACAACATCATCCAGGTCTTTGTTCAATAAGAAACCAAATTCAATATTGGCCAAGAATCTGATAAACGCACTCGGATTATAGCATCAAAACGTTTACTGAAAGAGAAAAAAAAAACTCAGCCATCTAATCATCTTCGAGAGTAGCAATATTTATGTAACAGCCCAAGCTAGTAGATATTATTCTCTTTGAGTTTTCCCTCCTAGGCTCCCCTCAAGGTTTTAAAACGTATCTGTTAGGAAGAGGTTTCTACACCCTTAAGAAATATTTTGTTCCCCTCTCCAACTGACGTGGGATCTCAAAATCTACCCCACGTTGGGAGCCCAGTGTCCTCGCTGGCACATTGTCCGATATCTGGCTCTGATACCATTTGTAACAGCCCAAGCCCACTGCTAGAAAATATTGTCTGCTTTGGCCCGTTACGTATCGTCGTTAGCCTCCTCACAGTTTTAAAGCACATCTACTAAAGAGAGGTTTCCACACCCTTATAAGGAATGTTTTGTTCCCCTCTCCAACCAACGTGGGATCTCACAATTTAACAATCGTGAAAGTGAATGAAAAAGCAGGAAATAGGCTCAAATAATGGCCTTATATTTGCCCATAACGAACAAATTTCGACTCCAAGGTCAAGCATCAAGTTTCAGATATGAAAATATTGATCACAAGATTCAAAGCAAGCTATTTTACCTTCTCAATGCCACCACGAGAAGTAACCTCCACGAAAAGTCGATGCAGGTCTAGTTCTTTCCCACCAATAATCGGGATCCTGCGTTTTCAAGAGCCAAAAGTGAAAAACAGAATCTAATTGCAAAACCAACAAAATGGAGAACAAACATTTTATCTCTATTTAAACAAGATTTGAGAAACTTCCATTAAATGAATGACAAGGTCCACTTCACAGATAAAGGAGTAAGTGTTTAAGAAGAATACATGAACTTAGTTCCCATGACAGAATGGAGCTTTTCCAAGGATGCCATAAAGATATTTGGATTAGCTACAATATCCTCATATGTTGTCTGCGGTGGTGGGTATGGAATACAGCTAGAAGTAGCTTCAATCACTGGCAGTTGCTTCCTGCCAGCAAAAGAAGTCGAGGCCATGGTCAACTCGTCCTGCTACACCAGCGTGCCTCTGTTACTTCCTCTTCTATAATCGATCAATGAACTGTTCAAGCACATCCATCACTCTGTTCTATGAAATTTGAAGAAAACAAAAACAGCAATAAAAGTTTGAAACATCTGGCTGCATTGCATGCAAAGAACAGTAAAAAATGAGCAAAAACAACAGAAATTCACAGAGACAAATAACCTCTCCACCCCCACTCCTTTCAGAATCATGATGCAAACGGAGTGATAGTGATGAAATAACTACCGGCAATAAGGTAGACATGCAAAGACCCAAAAGAAAAATGGTACAGCATAGCTTATATCTGATTATTTCAAATAGTCTTGTTTCGTGTTATGGGTAAGATAGCAATGGTTGAGTTTCTCACTTTCTAAGCGACTCAAGCCAAGTGATAGTGGTGAAATGAATGAGGCTTTTGTACCTACCTACACCGAGGATGACGTTCCATCGGCCTGTAACCAGATGAATATACCTCGAACCCTCGGCCCTGATGGTTTGCTGGATTTGTTTTTTCAAGAGTTACGGCATTTTAAAGGGAAAGCTTCTAAAGGTTTTAAACAGCAACAGGTCTCCAAAAGCTTTATACCAGAAAATAATTGTGCTCTTTGAGCTTTCCCTTTCGGGCTTTCCCTCAAAAATTTTAAAACGTGGTTTGCTAGGGAGAGGTTTCCACACCCTTATAAAGAATGTTTTGTTCTCCTCTCCAACCGATGTGGGATCTCACAATTAGAGGAGGGGCAAATTATCAAGACTGCTGAAGGGGATGTCATTCTACCTTGGCTAAAGCGATACCTTACATTATAGAAGTTGATGTAGCCAAGGTTGTAAGCAATTCAAAAGGGTCTACAAGTGATAATTGAAGCTGGAATCTGTTCTCGAGCCGTTGAGTTCGGTTCCTCTAGAAAATTTGCTCCATTGAAGATGGTTGGGGAGACTCAAATGTTGAAGGAGTAAGCGATGCCACTCAGTAGAAGACTGAATCAACTGCAATGCATGATGCAAAGATTCATAAATGGCCACAAAAACAACAGAAACTTCATAGAGATAGATAAATAACCCCACCCCACTCCCTTCACAATCACTATCATGCAAATCGAAAGTTCAGAACCAAGATAACAAGAAACACCACAACTACCTGAACAAACCCAAGTCTACCGCTAGCAGATAGTATTTGACCGTTACATATAACCATCAGTCTCACGGTTTTTAAACGCTTCTACTAGTAAGAAGTTTTTACACCGTTTTAAAAAATTATTCGCTCCCCTCTCCAACCAACGTGGGATCTCACATGAAATAACTCACAGTAGAGATTCAAATACCGAAAAAAGCAAATGGTACAGCGAAGCCGTCACAGCCATGAATTCCTCTTATAGAATCAAGGGGCTGAAACCAAAGAACCACCCAGAAGCCAGACACTTTTCATACAGAGGCGATGAGAAAAGCCTCCCATTAAGGCCATTGCAATAAATCTCACTGGGAAAGTTTCAGGGCTAGTACAGAGCAATGCACCTTTCCCTGTCATTCCAAAGATATCTAATGGGTTATTAAACCATTGTCTCCTCTATGTTGACAAACCCAAAAAGTGCTTTCTTCTTCTTCTTCTCCCTATCTATTTCCCCATTATCTAACACTAAATCAGCTTTCAAAAGTTGCAGATTCTTCATACAACCCTAAAAACACAGACAAAGAAATCCAAAGGAGATGCTATTATGAATGAACAGATGGGGTTTGGGTTCGAAGGTGGGGGGAACACTCCATTCACTAAAGTAAAGAAACCCCACAATGAAAATCACTAATCAGAGCAGAAACAAAGTAGAAATTAATGGAATCACCAAACATAACAGTGATTCAAACCAAACTGTCCATTATTTCCACAACTTAATAAGAAAATGCAAACAACCCAGATCATAATATGACAGATTAAACAGTTTCAGAAAAGAAAAACTATAAAAGCATTAGAAAGGGGGGAAAATTACATACTCCAGAGATAGAAAGATGAATGAAGAAGCCAATTAGGAGGGGGAAATTTTCATAAAATCCCAAAAACATTACAAAAGAGAAGGGTTTAGAAAGAACTAACCTCGATTAAGAGGACATTGATTGCGAGCGAAAACCAAGAAGAAACCGGGAGTATTGGATGAAGAAGAAGGGTAGATTAGGAATCGAAAAATACGAAAGTTATGGAGGAAAATGAGGAATACGTTATGGCGGGGGGTCGTCTTCATCCTCGAACTGTTATTAATTGCATTCCTATGGGGAAAAAATCGGCTATTTCTTTTTAATTTATATTATTTTGGTATTTAATTTATACCTAAATTAATAAAAATGACTGGAAATAAATTTATTTCATAAATATATATTAATATATCTTTTAAAAAATAAAAAAAAATTATTATATTTAAAAAATACCTATAAATTTTTAAAATTAGAATTACCATCATTAACCTTTATAACATAAAAAATTTTATCGTTAATTTATGAATGAAAATTGTTTAATATATTTTTTTTTTTTAAATGGTACTAATTGTAAGGAAATTTTTAATTTTTAATTTTTTTAAGAAATTTAAAAGTTTTTAAAAAATAATTTTTGAAAATTCAAATATATTTTTGAATGGCTTTCTAATTGGGAAATTTTAGGGCCAAAGTTCGTGTATTCGAGCTGGACGGTTCAGATTCTTTGCATAATGGACGCTGAGATGGTGAAGGAAATTGGTCTCACTTGTAGATGGATCGTGGGCCGTTATTGGGCCTGGACATTTTGGCATCAAGTGGCCCAAACTTTAAATATAAATAAATAAATAAAAACTTAAATACTTCATTAATTATGGCGCTCACTGAAGTTTCGTTCAGCCAGAGATCACGAGGCGAATTCCTAAAATCCTACCGTTCTTCTCGTTCTTCCACCGCATTTCCGTGGATTTTCCTAAGCTTTACGTCGGACATTATGAGATTTTTTTTGTCTCTTTTCTTCACCGGAATTCTCTTGTTTTGCATCTCGTCTTCCTCTGTTTTGGATCCTTTCACTCCTCTCCGATGGAAGCCATTGCAGCAGCACAAAGCTTCAAAATCAGGTCCAAATCGCAATTTCTATCTCTAACTTTATTATTTATTTTCATTTTTGAAATTTTCAATTGATTGTGAAATCGTTCTGGATTAATCCTTGCAGAGTAATTCTAGTCATTTTGGTTCTGTTGCACCGCTACTTGTGAAGTCGCCTATCGTTTTTCTTTTTTCTTTTTCTTTTTTTTTTTTTTTTTTTTTTTTTTTTTTTTTTTTTTTTTTTTTTTTTTTTTTTTTTTTTTTTTTGTTCTTCTTTCAATTGAGAATCGATTGTGTGAACTGGTTCTGGATTTACTTTTGCTGAACATTACTAGTGATTTGATTCTGTCTTTGTCGTTTTTGTGTAATTTAGAGTTGATTGTGTGAATTCGTTATGGATTCATTGTTGCAGAACTGTATTGATGATTTGATGCTGTTGCATCGCGACTAATGAAATCGGTTACATTTGACGTTTTTGTGTGATTTAAAATTAATTTTGAATTTGTTCTGGATTCAATGTTACAGAGTAATACCAGCGATTATGATTCCCTTGCACCACGAGACGAGCTTGAATCGGCTCTGTGGCGAACAAGACGGTGATAATCGCCGTCGTAAACAAGGTGTACGCCGATCAAGAAACCACAGCCGTTGCTACTATGCTGGACGTGTTTCTCGACAGTTTCTGGCTCGGAGAAGGCACTCGGCCTTCGGTAAATCACCTCATCCTCGTTGCCGTCGATCAGACGGCATACGATCGGTGCCGGTTCCTTCATCTGAACTGCTTCCGGTCGATTTCGCGGAGGATTTCATCAAGATGACTTAGTTTCTCTTGGTTGAAAGTCCTCAAACGAGGATGCAACGTCATCTTCGCGGTACGTTCTCTTTTTTCGAGTATAATTTTATTTGTCTCCTTTTAAAATAATAGAGACTACGTAATATAATAATTTAGAAATATATCATTAACCTCTTTAATATTAGAGGATGAACTTTTTGTTTGATGGTTTTTGGTAGGTTTTAGTGCCACGACTCTACCGCTTCTTCTAATCTTACAACAAAACAAATCATATTCATTTAAGACAACAACCTTCCTAAAATCAGCGATTATCGAAGAAACACGTTCACAAATAATAAAGAGAACCAACAAAATATCCATAAAATCCGGGACGGATACATTTCCTAAAACACATAAAATAAAAGAAGAAATTTCTTCTGCCTTTTCTCTTTTTCCTCACCGATAAAAAACGATACAACAGATTCAGCTAAAAAAAACAAAAACAAATGATATTTTTTCACACAGCCAAATCTAACCTTCCTTATTCAACCCATACACAACGCGTCTTTCTTTCTTCAACACAGACCCTTACCCCTTCAGACCACTAACCCAAAGACTTCAAAAAAACCCTACTGTAAAACCAGAATTTTCCTCAGTACCTGTAGTGAGCAGGCTTGTATGGACCCTCAACTGGCACATTGATGTAGTCAGCTTGGTCCTTGCTGAGCTTGGTAAGCCTAGCACCTAGTTTGCCCAGGTGAAGGGCAGCCACCTTCTCATCAAGGTGCTTGGGCAACACGTAAACCTTCTTCTCATACTTCCCAGATGTCCTCTCGTTCCAGAGCTCGAGCTGTGCAATGACTTGGTTTGTGAAAGAGCAGGACATGACAAAGCTGGGGTGTCCAGTGGCACAACCCAAGTTTGAGTCTACCCTCGGCCAACACGATGATGCCGGAGTTGGTTTCGGGGAAGACCCACCTGTCGGTTTGAGGCTTGATGGTGATACGCTTCACACCAGGGTAGCTCTCAAGACCGAGCATGTCAATCTCATTGTCAAAGTGACCAATGTTGCAGACAATGGCATTGTTCTTCATCTTCCTCATGTGGTCAACCATGATGATATCCTTGTTACCGGTGGTGGTGACGAAGATATCAGCCTCAGAGACAACATCTTCTAAGGTGAGGACGGGAAGGCCTTCCATGAGAGCCTGGAGGGCACAAATTGGATCAATCTCGGTCACGATAACACGAGCGCCAGCTTGCTTGAGAGCAGAAGCACAGCCCTTTCCAACATCTCCATAACCGCACACAACAGCAACCTTACCGGCAATCATGACATCAGTAGCTCTCATCAAACCATCAGGGAGAGAGTGTCGGCATCCATACAAGTTGTCGAACTGTAAACAATCGGAATTGAATCCGCTTAGAACCAGATTGGTGTTTAAAGCTAAAAATTGACAACAGAACGTTACAACGGTTCGATTGGCAGATGAAAGATACTTAATTATCAGTCAACAGCGGAAAACAGGGTAACTGAAATTGAATTCCATTAACAGCTTGTTTTAAACTCATGCAGGATTCAGAAGCAAGTACAAGCATGGATATGGATGATTCAAACACAACACAATACAAGCATGGATGAGCTTGGGTCACAGATCTGACGGGATTTGAATACAAAAATCAGATCTACAGCAAAAGGGAAATGAAAAAACAGAGAAGAAGTTCAGATCTAAAAGAAAAGCACAAGAAATCATACCTTGCTCTTAGTGACAGAGTCATTGACATTAATGGCAGGGAACAACAAGGTTCCACTGGCCTGCATCTGGTATAGCCTCTTAACACCGGTGGTAGTCTCTTCCGAGACACCAACCAATCTCTCCTTCATCTTGTGATACCTCTTAGGGTCAGATTTCAATCCATCTCTAATAATCGTCAACACGATCTGAAACTCAGCGCTATCAGTAGAAGAAGGATCAGGAAGAACGCCGCTCTTCTCATAAATCTCCTCAGCCTTAACTCCCTCGTGAATCAAGAGAGTAGCATCACCACCATCGTCAACAATCAGATCCGGACCACCACCAGGGCCCCAGTCCAAGGCGCGCTCGGTACACCACCAGTACTCCTGAAGTGTCTCCCCCTTCCAGGCGAACACGGCGGCGCTGTCGCGAGCAATCGCGGCAGCGGCATGGTCCTGAGTGGAGAAAATGTTGCAGGAGCACCAACGAACCTCGGCGCCTAGAGCGGTGAGGGTTTCGATGAGCACCGCGGTTTGGATGGTCATGTGGAGGGAGCCGGTGATGCGAGCTCCCTTGAATGGCTGGGAAGGGCCGAATTCGGTACGGCAAGCCATGAGGCCAGGCATTTCGACCTCAGCGAGCTCGATCTCGAGGCGGCCGAAGTCGGCCTGAGACATGTCCTTGACCTTGTACTCACGGCCGCCGGCGGTCTTCTCGACAATTAGAGACATTGCGAGAGAATTGGGGAAGAAAGAACACAAAAATCTCTTGTTTCTGCGATGAAGAAGAAGATCGCAGAAGAGAGAAATGTGAGCGCACAAAGGATAGAGCAAACTGAGGCCCTATAAATAGATAAATCGACGGTCCACATTCGGGGCTTCCAACTCCCACCTTAGGGCTTTGAGATTGTGATTTTTATCGGGTCTTCATTTTCTAGACCGGTTTCGGGTCGGTTTTTTAATGGATAATCTAAAATGTTATCGGTTAATATTTTTAGTATTTTAGTCTTTAATACATTTAATTGTTTCAAATTTTTTTAATAACTCAATTTCTTTTTCTTTTTTTTTTCTTTAGCTTCTTAAATATACTTTTAATCTCTTCTTTAATTCTTCCATTTCTACATATTTCTAATCTTTTTATCTCTTCTTAAATATTAAAACTCAAAATAGAAATGATTAATTCTCTCATTTATAACTATTTCCAAATATAAATATATTAAATTCTAACACTCATATTTTTTTTCCAAGTTGGTTCTTTCCTATTCCAAATAACTTTTAAAAATTTGGCTATTTTGGATGCTTTATTCTTTTATGATTTTGTTTGAAATTGACATTTTTATTTGCAATTACATTTAAAAATAAGAAAAGTTTGAAGTTGAAGCAAAGGAGACATTTTTATGTAATACTAATAGAATATTTTTATGTTTATATCTAAGAGTATTTTTTTACCTTTAGAAAAGTGCCAACTAAGAATCTTTTTATGTTCATATCTAAGAGTATTTTTCTACCTTCAGAAAAGTGCCAGCGTAATTTTAAATAATGATAAAAAGTTTTAATATATTAATAAATATTTGTAAATTTAAGGACACATTTTAAAATTCAACCCTTTTTTTTTTTTAAGTAGTAAGCCGATTATTAAAACTTTTAAAAGTATCATATATCCTTCCTTCCAATATTTTAATTTTCAAACTTAGTTTGAAAATAGAATAAAGTAGTTTAACCAAAAAATTCTATTATAAGAAAAGTGATGTGAAAATTTGTAAAAGAATTATTCCAAATTTGAGATCTAAAATTTATTTATGATTGAGTTCTTAAAGTAAGAGTATCATTAAATAATTAAATAAATAAATGAATAAAAGACCAAAAAAATGTCAAATATCCGCTAACCAAATTTTTTCCCCAAGGAAATCTTCACAATAAAAATTTGGACAGCCAAAATATTGCAGATATATGATACTTTTAAAATTTGGACAGCCAAATACAACAAATCATATTTATTTAAGACAATAATCTGTCTTTTTTATATAAAAAAAAAAAAGAAATGGGATTATTAAAGAGAAACGTGCACAAATAAAATATCAAGAAAATCCAAGACAGCTATATTTCTAAAACAACAAAAAAAATAAAGGCAGCAATTTCTCTTCTTTTTTCTCTGTTCTTTCTCACCGATAATCACGATGCCACAAATTCAACAAAAAAAAAAAAAAAAGATTAAAACAAAAACAAGTAATATTTTTCACACAGCCAAATCTAACCTTATTCAGCCCCATACAGTGGGTCTCTCTTCAACGCGCAGACCCTTTCCCCTTCAGACCACTAACCCCAAACACTTCAATAAACCCCTACTTGTAAAACCAGAATTCTCCTCTCAGTACCTGTAGTGAGCAGGCTTGTATGGACCCTCAACTGGCACGTTGATGTAGTCAGCTTGGTCCTTGCTGAGCTTGGTGAGCCTAGCACCTAGTTTGCCCAGGTGAAGTGCGGCCACCTTCTCGTCGAGGTGCTTTGGCAACACATACACCTTCTTCTCGTACTTCCCGGATGTCCTCTCATTCCAGAGCTCGAGCTGTGCAATCACTTGGTTTGTGAATGAGCAGGACATGACAAAGCTGGGGTGTCCAGTGGCACAACCCAAGTTCATGAGTCTACCCTCGGCCAACACGATGATGCCGGAGTTGGTTTCGGGGAAGACCCACCTGTCGGTTTGAGGCTTGATGGTGATACGCTTCACACCAGGGTAGCTCTCAAGACCGAGCATGTCGATCTCATTGTCAAAGTGACCAATGTTGCAGACGATGGCATTGTTCTTCATTTTCCTCATGTGGTCGACCATGATGATATCCTTGTTACCGGTGGTGGTGACGAAGATATCAGCCTCAGAGAGGACATCTTCCAATGTGAGGACGGGAAGTCCTTCCATAAGAGCCTGGAGGGCACAAATTGGATCGATCTCGGTCACGATCACACGAGCTCCAGCTTGCTTGAGAGCAGAAGCACAGCCCTTTCCAACATCTCCATAACCGCACACAACAGCAACCTTACCGGCAATCATGACATCGGTAGCTCTCATCAAACCATCAGGGAGAGAGTGTCGGCATCCATACAAGTTATCGAACTGTAAACAATCAGAAGTAAATCCAATCAGAACTATTGGTGTTTAAAGCTCAAAGCTAACAATAAAACATCACTAGGACAAGATCGATTGATGAGAGATCTACAGTTATCAGTCAATAGCGAAAAACAGGGTAACTGAATTTGAAAGTGTACAGACAGAACAAAGAACAATGGTTCAACAAGATGAGTCCAATAGCATCTTGTTTTAAACTCATGCAAGATATCAGTCCAAAGATTTTGCTCACAGAGTTACAGTTCAAACACTACACATACAAGCATGGATGAGCCATTGGTTATCAGATCTGACGGGATTCGAACAGAAAAATTATCACAGAAATCAGATCTACAGCAACAGAGAAATGAAAAACAGAACAGAAACTCAGATCTAAATGAAATGCACAAGAAATCATACCTTGCTCTTAGTGACAGAGTCATTGACATTAATGGCAGGGAACAACAAGGTTCCACTGGCCTGCATCTGGTATAGCCTCTTAACACCAGTGGTAGTCTCTTCAGAAACACCAACCAATCTCTCCTTCATCTTGTGATACCTCTTAGGGTCAGATTTCAATCCATCTCTGATAATCGTCAACACGATCTGAAACTCAGCGTTATCAGTAGAAGAAGGATCAGGAAGAGCGCCGCTCTTCTCATAAATCTCCTCAGCCTTAACACCCTCATGAATCAAAAGAGTCGCATCACCACCATCGTCAACAATCAGATCCGGACCACCACCGGGACCCCAATCCAAGGCACGCTCGGTACACCACCAGTACTCCTGAAGAGTCTCCCCCTTCCAGGCGAACACAGCCGCGCTGTCGCGAGCAATCGCGGCAGCGGCGTGGTCCTGAGTGGAGAAAATGTTGCAGGAGCACCAACGGACCTCAGCACCGAGAGCGGTAAGGGTTTCGATGAGAACCGCGGTCTGGATGGTCATGTGGAGGGAGCCGGTAATGCGAGCTCCCTTGAATGGCTGGGAGGGGCCGAATTCGGTACGGCAGGCCATGAGACCGGGCATTTCGACCTCGGCGAGCTCGATCTCGAGGCGACCGAAGTCGGCCTGAGACATGTCCTTGACCTTGTACTCACGGCCGCCAGCGGTCTTCTCGACAATGAGAGACATGGTGAGAGATTGGGGGAAGAAAGAACACAAAAATCTCTTGTTTCTGCGATAACGAAGAAGATCGCAGAAGAGAGAAATGTGAGCGCACACAAAATTGAGCAAACGGAGGCCCTATAAATAGGTTCGAATGTCAGATCGACGGTCCAGATTTGGGGCTTCCAACCCCCAGATTAGGGGTTTGAGATTGTGATTTTATCGGGTCTGGACTTTCAAAACCGGTTTTCGAATCGGGTTTCTAATTTTTTTTATTTTCTTTTAAACTAAACAAATAAAAATACATATACGTATTTTTGGAAATTTGGTTAATAATCTTAAATTTTAAAATGATTTTTACAATTTAAAAATATTCATTAATACACTTTATCTTTATAAAAAAAATTAAAAAGAATTCTAATCATCAATATGTACGAACCCTATGGTTAACCCCTTGTAAATTATTTCTAGATTCTTTTAATTTTATTTTTTAAATATTATTAAATTTTCAAACTAACGGTAAGAATATCTTTGATTTTTCTAAACAAAATTCTAAATTTTTTTTAGTAAGAGTGTGAATAAAAATAAATAAATTCATTTAAAACTAAAAATAAGAGTATTTTTTTAATTTTTTTAATTATGTTTGAGATTTTTTTAAAAAAATGTAAGAATATTGTCAATAGTTTTACAACAAACGATAAAATTCATAGCATTAGACATAAAAAATAATCATGTTGTTCTCTATCTCGTTAGTTGAGTGGCGTCACCGAACAAGTTTGCCAACCACCCGGCATCATATGGGCTCGTCATACGCAGTTAATAACCAATGTGATTTTAAAAAAATAAAAATAAAAATAAAAAGAGTGTAAAAAGGAGTGAAAGAAAAATTATTTTATTTTATCTTACTAAAAATAAAATAAAAAATAGTTGACACATTTAAAAAAAAAATATATTTTATCTTACTATTTAATTTCAAGAAAAATTATTCTTCTTTAAAAAAATTAAAACTTATATGAAAAAAAGTAAATTTTCTCCGTTATTGATACAAGTTTTTCATTTATAGTTTTTTTTTTTTTTTTTTTTTTTTTTGCGTGTTGGAAAATAAAGGCCGTGGGCCCACGCGATTACAATAAATGAACGGTTGAGATGTACCGCGTGATTTTACCTTTTCCCCAAATGATGCTTTTGGGCTTTTGTCGGAGATCTGAGATGTGATGAAGAGTTTAGACTCCCCTGTATCCGAGACTACATAGCTAAAATAGTCTCGACTTTAATTTAGCGGTGGCTTAAAATTACTGTTAGCCTTCGCAATTCAAACGTTCTGATTTGTCCACTGAGAATAACGTTAGTCAAAAATAATAAAAATTTCAACATGTTATTTTTTATCTAAGATTCGTAAAATTTAAAATAAAAAATATATGAACATAATTATTCCATTCAATAAAATTTAAAATTAATAATTGTAATAAAAGTACAATTATTTTTGCAAATTCATTAATTTTTTTTGTAAATCCAATTAATTATGATTAATTGATATTAATTTTTATGATAAATGAACTTTTAAGTAGTTGAATAATAATAGAGTTTTTTAAAAGTTAACACCTTCAAAAAAAAAAATATATATATATATATATATACACATCATATCAAAATTTAGTGTAAAAACAAGATATTTTTCTTCGGTTTTTTTAGTTAAATGAGTAGTTACTGTGACCTTGACATTTTTTTGAAATGATTACAACATGTTTTGTTTTTACTCACATATTTCTTATAAAATCTATAAGGCGTCGCCCAACAAAATTTTGTTCCAAATCAAACATATGATTGAGCTTGTAAATAGTCTATGTCCATTGCTAGTAGTTATTGTCCGTTTTGACCCGTTGCGTATTGTCATCAACTTCACAGTTATAAAACGCATATGCTAGAGAGAGAGGTTTCCACACATTTGTAAGGAATGTTTCATTTACCTTTCCAATTGATGTGAGATGTCACAATCCACCCACCTTAAGGATCCAACGTCCTCACTAACACATCTCCTCACTAGCAAATATTGTGCGATTTGACCTATTACGTATTGTCGTTAGCTTCATAGTTTTCAAACACGTCTGCTAAAGAGAAATTTCCACATTCTTATAAAAAATGTTTTGTTCCCCTCTTCAGCCGAGGCAAAAATCTCGTAGAGCTTCTAGAAATAAATATGCGTTAAAAGTTTTTTCAAACCTATCTTATCATCGAGGTCACGCTCATTTGAATGTGACATTAGTTCATTCACGTACTGTATTTCACTCTAGCATTACATATCCACCAGCTTTTACCATCGTTCGTCGAGGTACGTTTCGACTCCGCTTGTTTTGTTTTGCCCGTGTTGCAGTCATTAAACGTGAATATTCATTGCTGTTTTTTCCCCCTAAAATTATTGAAAAGAATCCAACTAGAGAGAGGAGGAAAGAAAGCAAGATCCAGATCTGGTCTTGCCAGAATTTTGAATAAATCATTTTTATTTATTTATTTAAATATTAAACCCAACCGACGTGCATTTAAGTTCAAATCAATATTTAAAAATAATATATTAATTACAAAAATCCACTTTATGCCTTATTCTTATTTCTTCCACCCACATGCTTGATAATTAAAAGTAGCTATAAATTGAATTTCATAATTTTTAAAAAAATATATTTATTTTATATATAATATTGAATTATAAATTTTTATTCCATTAATTTAAAATTTTATAACTAAATTGATAATTTGAAGATTAAAATACTATATAATTATATATCAATTTTCCATTGATTTTTTCTTAAACAGTAATTTTAATAATAATATGTTTAGAATGTTTATTATTAGTGTCACTATTATTATATAAGTAGAAGTAACACATATCACATTAAACAAATAATTAATTAATTAATTAATTAATAAGCTCGTGCAAGGTTAGTGGGGTTGGTGATCTGTCACCAACCCCAAATGTAAATATATATATATATATATATATATATATATCACTTTAAAAGTAAAATCTTTCTAAGAAATTTGATGAAAAAAAGATTATTATTATTATTATTATTTGGACATGAAAATTAAAAAAAATGCTAAATTAAAATTTTAGTTTTTAATTTTTTAAATTTGTATTTAATTTAAGTCTTTTAATATTTTTGATATTTTTTAAAAAAATTTACTCCTCTACGGAACACAAAATTAAAAATATTAAATATATATAAAAAATACAATATTGAAATTAAATTTATAATTTAATAGAAAAGAAATAGAGAAATTCAATATCGTGCATGATTATGGTTTTTTATTTTATCTTTCAGATCATTCAATTGTCTTGAATGATTTCGGTTTTTAGAAAATTAATTTAAAAAGGTAAAAAAGTGAATTGAACCAATAGGTTGGTGAAATCAAATGACTAAATTGCCCCCAACTACCCCCAGATCCCCACCCGATTCACCTACCTTGATCGGTCTTTTTCCTTTTCCTCTATCAATACCATAAAGCTACGGTAGAGAAGACGCAACGTTTTATCTTTAAGATCGCTTCAAAATTAAACGACATGACGAACACGTACAAGTGTCGTCTTGTTGTTCGGAGTGGAGAATGAACCAAAAACGTGAAAACACGGTATTTTTTTCTTTAATTTGAAAAAAAGATCTAGATTCATCTATTTTAAAATAAATAAATTAAATATATATTAACGATTAAAATATTATTAAAAAAAAATATATTTTTAGCCATATATTTAATTAACTCCAAATAAAATGGATACATTACCATAATTAAATTTTAATTTTTTTAATGATATTAAACCTTGTTGTTTTAATATTATATTTAAGTTGTCTTTTAAACTTTTTGATAATTTTTTAATAAAAAAATTAAAACTACTAAAGTAGCAACCACAAAAAAAAAAAAAAAAAAAAAAAAAAAAAAAAAAAAAAAAAAAAAAAAAAAAAAAAAAAAAAAAAAAAAAAAAAAAAAAAAAAACATGTAATTTATTTTTGGATGAGTAGAAAAAAAAACGAAAAAGTACTCGAATTCAATTAATTTAATTAAGAATTATCACGTATTTATCTCTAATTTAAAATTCAGAGTTTAAATTTATAAATTATTAATTTGAGATTTTAATTATTTAACTCTCAAAATGTATAGGTATAAATTAATCCTTTTATATAGAATAAAATACTTTATATTTCTTATATTTTAAAATATTAATTATCAGTAGAGAGTTAATATATATATATATATATATATATATATATATATATATATATATATATATATATGTGTGTGTGTG